GGGGGGGGGGGGGGGAGAATCGGCATTGCAAGTAAAAGCTAGGTTCAGAGAATGCCTAATATCTATTCAATACTTGGGATCAGAAAAAGGCATATGTTTACGAAGATAACCCAAAAATTTCTAGCGCTAAGATTCCTTTCAAAAGCTCAGTTTTTGATTGCGGAGCAAAAATAATTACTATACAATTTGTATACTATGATCTATTCATTATTCGGGACCAGAGGAAAAAAAAACATTCAACTGATCCAAAAGCAATTGTCTGGCATGCTTTGAGGTCAAATGTTCAATTTCTACAAACAAAAAGCAAAAAATTGCGAGATTCGAATTGCAATTCTTCACTTCCATGTTCTAAAGAATTGGCATAAACCCATAAACATTATAACACGTAGACATATATGCAGATGTATCTATGTAAAAAAGACGATAAAGTAAAAAGAGATCAACAAGAGTTTTCATACCCCATGGTGAATGAAAGAAGTGCTTCGACGAAGACTAGGGTTTCCGAGGACGAAGAAGAGACTGCCGCCGAATAAAACCCTAACCTTGAAGCGCATGTTTATATATATTTGTGGTTGAAGATTGGGCCGGGTGGATTTCTCCAAGACGGTCACTCAGGCCCATTTAGTTGAGTGGCTTTATTCATGTTATCATCCAGACCTGTTTGGACAATATCATTGGGTGAAAGAAGAGTCCAACAACATCTAAGCCCAGCCTCTATTAATTAATAGGTTTTTTGGAAGTCGGTACACATAATTAAACTTATTTGATAAAAAGTATATACAACAAAATATTTTGAAAAAAAATACACAACTGAGATACAAAGACGTAAATGCTCATTTTGGAGTCATTTAATTCAAAATCTCTTATCTTTAATGCACCTTGATTCATGTGTATTTGTTAATATATATATATATATATACATATATATACTTATTGTTGTTAAATCTCTTATCTAAATTTTGAATTATATTTACTGCACCTTGATTCATGTGTATTTATTACAATATATATATATATATATATATACTTATTGTTAAATCTCTTATCTAAATTTTGAATTATCTTTAATGCACTTTAATTCATGTGTATTTTTTTTTTTGGAAAGTAGTTTTATTTTCAAATTATATTTATGTATTAAATATTTACTACTAGTAGTTTTATAGGAGAATTTTAATATTTCGTTTAATTTAGAATATATCACTTGTTTGAATTTTAAAATTTGTTAATATTCGAACTACATAATAGTGTGACAAAAACAGTGCAACAAATACACTGTAACAAGTATATACATATACTTATTAAATCTCTTCTCTAAATTTTGAATTATCTTTAATGCACCTGAATTTATGCATATTTTTTCTTGGAAAGTGGTTTTATTTTCAAATTATATTTATACATTAAATATTTACTACTAGTAGTTTAATAGGATAATTTTAATATTTCGTTTATTTTAAAATATATCACTTGTTTGAATTGCAATATTTGTTAATATCCGAATTCCATAATAGTGTAACAAAAACAATATAATAAATACACTATAATAAAGATAGTGTAACAATACACTGTAAATTTTGTTGATTCATGCGTATATTTTTTTGGAAAGTGATTTTATTTTCAAATTATATTTATGCATTAAATATTTACTACTAATAGTTTTATAGAAGAATTTTAATATTGTGTTTATTTTAGAATATATCACTTGTTTGAATTTCAAAATTTGTTAATATCCGAACTTCATAATAGTGTAACAAAAACAATATAACAATACATTATAAAAAAAATAATGTTCAATAATTTTTTGCATGTGGTAACAAATTCAAAATGGAGATAGACTATTTTGAATGAAATTATGTATTTGACAAAATGTAATAGTACAATATTTTATGTAAATAGCTTGTTACACTATTATTGTTACACTATTATTATTACACCTATTACACTATTTGAATATTAAATTAATTTAAAAATAAATCCATTTTTCAAAAAAAAAAAATAGATGAATCAAGGTGCATTAAATATAATTTAAAAATAAAGTCACTTTCCACAAAAAAAAAATGCATGAATCAAGGTCCATTAAAGATAATTCAAAATTTAGATAAGAGATTTACACTATTCGGATATTAAATTAATTTAAAAATAAAATCACTTTTTAAAAAAAAATGCATGAATCAAGGTGTATTAAATATAATTTGAAAACAAAATAACTTTCCAAAAAAAATTCGCATGAATTATGGAATATTAAAGTTTTTCCATAAAACTAAGAGATGTTTAATGCATCACTTTTCAAAGAAAATACACATAGATCAATGAAGGACAAAAATGTCACAAAAAAATCAGTAAAATTCAAATAATGTACTTAGATACAAATAAGTATCAAAATTAAAGACTTAATTACCCAACATTTTTTTTCTGTGTACTTTTTTTACAATTAAGTCTAATTTGGTGTACCCCTTCTAATTTCCCTATAATTAATAGTTGGTGGTCTTGAGTCAAGCTACGGGAATTCGGTTTGAGCTCAACTCCAATAAGATTCGATTCGAAATAAGTTGTGCTTAAACAATTTTTTAGACTCGTTTAAAAAACGGGCCTAAAAGACTCGGGTTGAGCTCTCAAAATTCTATTTGTTCATATATAAAATAGTTGAATTACTCGAATTTTGCTCGCCTTATTTTTTAAACGAGCTGAAGTTGAACAATTTTTTAGATTTTTTAAAGAAAACGAGCTTGACAGGTTCGGCTCGAGTTTTTAGAACTTGGTTCGATTATCAGCCTAATGTGTACACAATTATTTTTTTAATAAAAAAAACAATAACTAGACGGAATTCATTGCAATTATAAATTAATTGTAAGTTTCAAGGTTGAATGCAACATACTTTCAATTCAACCGCCGTAATTAATTATATCTCTAAATTAGATTCTCACTTTAGATCCAAATAACACCTATCTATGCATATAAACAGACATATTAGAGGGTAGAATGCTTGAAAAGTCTTCCTCCATTATTTTTTCTAATTTTTTAGAGTTTTAATTTTTTTAATTATCATATTAAGACTTCCTCCTGTCACATTTTATCATGTGTCTTTTTTAATATCCCCTCAATTCTGCCACTAAGTGTCTACTATTTTCTAAAATTTAATTACATAATTTTTTTTTTCCATTTTCTAATTTAATATTATTTTACTATCTATCTTTTTAAATAATAAGAAAACAGTGGGATAGAGGGAGAATGAGAGAGAAGGGACAAGTTATGGGCTTATGGATATTCAAGATAATATGATAAGAGCATGGTATCAATCCAGCGAGTCATACATAGATAGATACACGTGAACAAAAAGTTCAATCAAAATTTGCCTATTCGGGGACATGCTTTATACTAGTTTAAGTTATGGTAGTCGGTCGTTGAATTTGAAAGAATAGTCGACGCAAATTTGAACACCTTATAACAAAAAAAAAAAAAAAATCACTCAACAAAAATGTTCACACCACGTCATCATTGGATTTTATTTGATTGGTGATAGCACGTTTGTTTAATTTTAATTAATTGATTATACCATACCACATCATTGTTGGATTTAGTGAGGTATGTTTGTCCTATTTGTTGGATTTTAATTGGTTGGAGATACAACATTTGTTGTTTTTTAATTATAGTAGTTATTGCATATGTGCGTTGCACATGAGACATTTCAAATTATAATTTTATTTTTATATTTTTAACTTTGGTGAAATTATATAACAATTATGTTATCAAATATATGCTTATGAATCAAGATATAGAATTACAGTCCAACTTCTAAATAATGTTTTCAAAGGTATCAAACATAATTTTTGGAATGTAACAAAATGAAGCTTCTAGCTAATATGATGGAAGTATGTTATTGTATAACTATCTTTATGTAATGTTGTTTACTGAAGTTATGTGATATACTATCATATTATAACAAAAAAATAAAAAAAATAAAGACATAGACAATAAAGATAGATTTCTCTTACCTAGATATATTTTTTTATATATTCAATGACCTACTTTATTTTGTTTAAAAAAATGACCTACTTTATGGTTTATTAATTCACAAAATGAAAAAATAGATTCAGTGGCCTAGTTTCAAAAGCATTCGACAATGGCTCAATAGACACTATGACGCATGCTAACAAATTATGGCCATGATTATATTTGCATAGCCTAACAAGCTCGTGATGCCAAGAGGCTTATGTGTAACCAAAATTTCTCAGCCTACTAAGAAAATGAATAATTATGATGAATAAGGGAAACATAATAGTTTTTGGTGTTAATCACATCCACAAATCCATTTACCCGCCAAAGGAACGATTTTAATTAGAAATACACAATAAAACCAAGTCAACTATTATAGGGATTTTATGATTCTTCCTTGAAATTTCACGAAAATTTTAATAAGAGTGCCCACACCTCTTATAGGGGTAAAAATAACACAAATCCTCTAAAGAATTTAGATGAAAACCATAAGAAACATGTATTTACGCATCTATAACTTCACTCAAGTCAATTTTAAGACACTCCAAGCTGGGCTTATTGGAGTAGAGGAAAATCCTTTTCAAGGATGTGCGCTGCAAATATGGTGATCCTAACAAAAAAAAAAAGAAAAAGAGAATATATATTTACTATTATAAAAAAGTAATTATATCAATCAGGTTGAAGATGAGAAATGGTAGAAAGCTAAAACCAAGGGCGGCTCAAGGAAATTTGAAGCCTAAAACAAAAACACTAAATGAGGGCCTATTTATTTTTAATATTAATTTAAAAAAAATAAATTTATTTTTAGTATTAATTTTTAAAAAAATTAATTTATTTTTAGTATTAATTTTTAAAAAAATTAATTTATTTTTAATTTATTATGTGACAGAGAGACAGAAAAAAGACGTGTTAGTGTTGTTGAAAAAAATATTTTAATTTTAATTTTATTTTTTACCAAAAGAGTGTTTAATTTTAACTTTTTTTTTTTTAGTATTTTTTGCTTATTTTTATAGAGAGAGAATGGGTAAGGATAAATTTGACTTGATTTTTGAGTATTTTATTATTATTTATTTATTTATTTATTTTTTAGGTTTCTAATGTAATAAATTGGATTATGGATCCAAATTATTACAATAATAATTTTGATTATACTTAATTTTTTGGGGCCTTTATTGTAGTGTTTAAAATTTAAAGAAATTAATTTTTTTTTGAGTTAATAATGTACTTAAAATGACGAGGCCTTTTTAAAATTCGGGGGCCAGGAAAGTCAGAATCGTGTTGCTCGCTAATGGATTCCTAATTGGATGTGGACTGCTGAAGATGAGATTGGTGGAGCTATTGATTATGCCGCTCTTTACTTCAAGGATGCCGGCAATTGGATGATTCGGGTCGCCGAAAGGTTGGCGTTTAAAAAATGTCATTTTACAATTTCCGCCGTTTGCCCAAATGCCGAGAAATTTCCCGACGGCGGTATAGATGACTCTTGTCTGAAACGCCGGTGATTGAGTTTTCCGGCGGTTTTTTGGTTGTTAATGGCGTTTGGGAAACGCCAGCTATTGATTCTTTTCTTGTAAAGCTGTGGAAGCATACAAATCCCCGGCTTTGGAATTGGAACAATCAAAGACTCGAGTGTATTTATCGGAGGAACCATGTTGATGTAGGTAATAACAGTCAACCAACGAGCCCAATGTACTAGAGACATCTAAAAAAAGGTATTCGAATCAACCATTCTTACATTACCTACTAGTATCATGAGACTAATTGGAAATAAATAAATAAAAAGTTTTGGCCATAAAACGAACACCACCCTTGTTTATTCGAGAAAAATAATAACTAAAGCATTCGAGATTAGTATTGTCTTTAGGTTCTAAGAAAGCCAATTTGGCATCGATTCATTTGATTACGTTTTACTCTTCAGATGCGCTTGGAACTTGCACTCCTCCATCACACGTTTACACAGGGTCTCAGTGAGTCGGTGATATTAGAGCCAAGTCCTTTTTCTCTATGCCAAACATGGAGAGTCTTCATGCATTCACTGACATCACTGTCCATGGAGGGCCAAGGGGGTACACTTTGTATAAGTGCATGAGAAAGAGTGCTACGAAGATTATAGACACTTTTGAAGGGGAGGAGGGGGAGGAGGAGGAGCCACCCATTGTCTTTATATGAAAGAAATATTCGATGACGAGTTAGTTGCATTGGAACCATTCGATCTCACCGGTATTTATAGAAAGAAAGATCCCTATTTTTTTGCCACTAGTGTGGTATCATTGTCCAATTAGAATCCAACAAAATATGATTATCATTACCTTACCTTAGGGATATTAATCGAGCCAACTTTTACGAGCTTGAGTTTAAACCTGTCGAGCTCATTTTTCTGAACAAGTCTAAAAATTGTTTAAGCTCGACTTGTTTAGAACTCGAGTCGAGCTTGAATCCGGACCAAATCTGAGTCGAGTCCGACTAACTCAACTATTTTATATATAAACAAGCTGAGCTTTGCGCACAATTCGTTTAGAATCCGAGCCGAGTCAAATCAGAGTTGAATCCGAGTAACTCATCTCGATTAACACTCTTACCTCGCTCAGTCCAATGATAACATGGTATCATTAATTAATTACAATTTAACAACAAAACTAGTACCCTTACTTAATCCGATGATTACGAGGTGTCATCAACCAATTAAATACATCAAAACAGTGTAACTAACCAATTAAAATAAAATCTGACAAAAGGGGCTAATATGCATCACTTAATCCAACAATGACGTGATATATCACTTATCTATATATATACTATATACTATACTGCTTCTAAAAGTGGCTTAAGGAGAAAAAAATTTAATTTTCTTATTTGCCCTTTAATAATTCTATAATATCTATTTTATCTTTGTTTATTTATTGGTTGCATTAATTTAATTAATAAATTCATTTTTTGCCTTTTGATTATCTTCTTTATAAATATGATCTAAATCTGATTTTAATTGACTACAATAATCTTAATAAAAAAATTAATTTCTTAACCAATCTTCCTTGGCATAAAGTTATAAAGTGAACTTTAGATCATGTTATGAATTTAACCGAAAATCATCTCAATAGTTTTCAGGCACTAAAGCTACTCTGTAACTATTTGAACTTTTGTTATTCCAACATTAATTATTGACATCATTAGATGCATTAAATATATAAACAAAATTGTTAAATAAAACTCTATGAACAAACTCCACCTAATATGCCTCTTCATTTCCTATTTTCTTTTGCACTACTCAACCAACTGAAAAGCTATCTTTTCTCTCCCTTCCTCTCTTTTATTTCGTCTTCTCTTTCGTTCTTCTTCTTGCTACAAAGCACACGGCCCCTATTCACTTCTCCCTGTCAACGTTGTTGACATCCATGATCCACTGATCGTTTTATCAATTAAGTTTTTTTAGTCTCTTTCGTCTACTATGTTTTTCTTCCTCTTGGTTATAAATAACAAATCGTCACTGGCATTGAGATTCAACCGCTAATATTTTTAGTTATTATTGTGGAATGTCTTTGGGCGGAACACTAAGAGAGGGAGCATGCAAAATCAACACTCACGAAGACTTGAATGAGGAAAGGCCAAAGGTAATGTACGTAACTACATCGGGAAATCAAGTGTGGAGAAAAACCAAGATGACATCTTTAACGATACATCTTTTTTGGGAATTTGAATAATTACAAAGTAATTGCCTTTATCTCTACCTTTTAATGTGCTCAATCCCCATCTATTTTCCCTATTGTAAGATTGAAGGTAAAGAAAGAAGGTGATTTTCAACTCTATCGAATGACTTTTTAATTGAACGACTAATTGCTTTGAGGTTTGTTATAATGACTTCTGACATTCTAACCATATTGATTTTATTTATGTATTTTCTTTGAGGTTCTTGAACATTTTTTTGCTATTCTTGGCCTTTCCTGTTGTCAAACATTTAGCAATCAATGGTTGATAACACAAACTTTTGCAAAGCACTTATAGTATGGTAAGGAACCATCATTTTGTTGTAGTGTTTGTACATTTAGAAGCCTTTTATCTAAAATTTCTTATGGTATCCTGTTGTGTAGTTTTTCGTGTGTGCAGTGTAATATGGTGTGGGGTGTTTGCAGTCAAGCAATGTTGCGATCACAAGTGGTTGCTTCAAATGTTGCTTTTTTGGACCACAGTGACTATCAAACCCTGGGTTATTTAATTTTCTTTTGTTTTAAACTAAAAACCATAAATTGCTTCGTGAATTCGTTTATTAGTTTATGTTTAGGTTAAATATCAGAGAGTTTTATAAGCTATTTTTCATGTTGTACTTCATTTTTGTATTTTTTTTCGACTATAGGTTATCCATTTGGCACAAGATATACTATTTGTATTCAATACACAATGTAGGATGTAAAAAATACTGAGTTTAATTTGATTGACAGTTTAANACTTCATTTTTGTATTTTTTTTCGACTATAGGTTATCCATTTGGCACAAGATATACTATTTGTGTTCAATACACAATGTAGGATGTAAAAAATACTGAGTTTAATTTGATTGACAGTTTAATTATTTTCGACTTAAAAAACTTCCTACTCCCTCTCTCTCCTCCCCCCCCCCCCCCCCCCTTTTCATTCTTCATGATTGGCTGCATTTTCATTGAAAATCATATACACACTCATTTGAGTATAATGTAGAGGACTTGGGGAATTATAAGTTGTCTTGTATTCTAAGACACTAGGTTTGGCATTGATTTTTTCCTCTTTTTTAATCCAACTCATCAAAGTCGTCTGCTTTGATTGTACTTTGTGTCAAGATGCTAGATTGCAAATAAAATTTAGGAAAAAAAAATCCAAGGAAAATATAGCATCATAGTTGTTACTTGTTTAACAGAATGCATGAAAAAACAAAGCAACCACAAAAATCTTCATATTTTATCATAAAACATGTGGTCTTTAACACCTAATATTACACTTTTTTCGACGAGGATATGTACTCTGGCAACAATAGAATGAGAAGGTGGTGAAATTGTGGAACACAAACCATTTAGATGTGATAGACTCACAGGAGTTGGTTAACTGTTGGCTCATTCCATTGTTTAATTGTCAATGTTTACTTAGGTGCAATATAGAATTTATTTTAAAATAGTTCATGTGCAACGTATGTATGCACCAACTAGATCAAAATGTCAAGAAAAGTGAACCACATTTGTTAGACCAAAATAACCTTAACAAACTAACTAATGTCTATCTTACTTTTCTATAATTAATAACATTGTTACATCATAATTATTTTATTGTTGGCTGTTATTTAAGTTTTAGATAAATACTATTGGGTTACTAGCATTTTAATATCATAATGAATAATTACGATATCAGTTTTTTCTATATACTTACTTTAAAATCTACAATCAGTGACCTTTTGTTTTCTCTTCCATTCCACAAGTGTGTCTCTTCATTTATTCTCATTTTGCATCAATTCATTAACCAGACTCTCAAAGGAAGATGAAAGTAATCTAAGAGAAAGGAATCATCATTGGTCGTTTTAGCTGGGGCGGCTCAACAACATTAAACAAAAACCTTAACAGGGGACAAAACATTGTTGTCGAAGATCCATCTTTGACCTCCAACTCAAATTGAAACTCTTTTCTTGCTAAGTTTCTGCTCAAACCCTTCGTTCTTGACTTGTTGGATAAAACTTTGTTGGGTGATGTTGGTGCTGGATCATTGAGCTTCTTACTTGCAGAAAATATAAGCAGCAGTGTCTGAAGTTATATGTTTTATACAATGTAAATGATGCGTGCTTGCAGGTTTGGTGTTCTTGGAAATTGAAGAATGATCTTAATCAATTGTATATAAAGGAAGTTTTTGAGTTTTTCAATGTCTACCTCTATCTTAGCGATGACACTATCTTTATTTGTTCGGAGAACTAGCATCACATTTGCACACGTTGTCCAGGATTTTTACCTCAGTAACACCAACCTTCACAGCTTTCACAATGATTATAGTCTACCATGTACAAGGAAAACTTCTTTCAAAGAATAAAATGTACTCTACCATGTGCAAGGGAAAAAATAAGGAAAATTAAAAGAATCAACTAATGACAAAATTCTGTCAAAACTCTGATTTCCCTTCGATCTTGCAACATTAGAATCAATTGGGTTTTTTTGGCCGATTTGCTCCAAAGCTTCAAACATGCTCTTTACAGGCGAAGAACCAAGAACCGTAACTACTTGAATGCTCAAGTCCACTTCAACACTCTCAACACCTAGAAAATGGCCAGTAAAGAAAAAATTACAATACAAAGAAGCAAAATCTAGGCATAATGAATGGTTGAAGCACAATCATTCATAATAATCAAGTGAAAATTTTCAACTCATAAATGAACCCAATTCAATCTATACTTATATTCACACCACTAGGATTAAAATGAATTTTGTATAAATCATATACATGAGTAAAAATTTACCAGTAATTCGGGCAAAACGACATTTTGTCTGAAAATCAAGCCACAAGAATTGAAAACCAAAGGAGAAAGTGAAAATTATGTGGTGAATTTGCATGGTAAAGCTGCTTTATAAGATTTAACTAAATTAAACACCAAAAAATCAAATCAAACGAGGAAATAAAAACAAAAATTGAAAAAATAGTAGCAGAAAAAATTCCAAAAAATCTACAAAAGAATCAAATTTTACCTCTTCAACAACAAGTAGCCTCCGGAATCAAGATTCATTCCCATATAAACTGTACCAAACACACCAAACCCGATCGAGTTCCCTTTCTCCACCAAATTTGATGTGCATCGTCTTTTTTCACTTTCATTGATCCAGAATTCGCAATTGAAGGCAGTGTAGGGATTGGAGGTTTCGAGAATAGCCTGATCCTCCATTTTCTCATACTTGAACCGATTTTCTCATACTTTTCCATGCAAAAAACCTCCCAAATTATAGAGATATGAAGGAATTGCAAGGCTAAAATTCAAAAATCACCAATCATTAGCAGCCCACTCTTCTTAGTCGAACTCAAGAAGCCAAAAGAGAGAGAGAGGACGCGGTGACAAAGAGAATTTGGGAGAAAAATACTTACGTCAAGCCTGGGAAGTGTTGACCAAAAAAAAAATAAAGTCTGGGAAGTGAAACAAAAACGGATTTCCATTACTTTTTATTAGAAATTTTGTGGCGTTTATGGATAAACGCTGGTATTGAACGGTGTTTTGTCCACGGGCCAATAATTACCCGCCGGCTTTTTTGATATTTCTTGTAGTGTCTAAGGCCTTCTAACCAGATGATCTCCCCCGTTATGTTTGTCATTGATGATGTGTATAGCACAATAGAGTAGAATTTGGGGATTAAGAATCACTGAATGACTCAGCTCCTAGGCTCTCTTAAGAGTTGAATAGGAGAAAAGAAATTATTAAACAGAGAATTTATAGTAGTTCACCAGCTCGAGAACTTATCGGCTAATTCACTTTCAAAGAAGTCTCTTGCTCGTGGAAATTATATTATAAAGAGGGGAGTTACATGGGGTATTTGCTTAGGCTACAATTGTTTTTTTTTATGTGTCTTGCTCTTTAGGATTATGCCTCTTATTTAAAGCTGATCTTAGACTTCGCCTGATCTCTAGCGTGATCCTTGCCTCCTCCTTGTAATGGTTACTACTATCATGCAATAGCTGTGGAGGGTATTGGAGTTGTTGCGACTCTTTTGCCTAGATATACGCCTATTACTGTTGTTACTATTTGGGTGGCGCTTGGATGGAAGTCAGCTAGCTGTCTTATGTGCTACCCTTGTGGAGGTGCAGGAATGGGAGGTTTGACCTCAAGTTTCTTGGCCATTCAGGATGGGCTCAGCGTCTGAGATGGGAAGGTCNTTATTACTGTCGTTACTATTTGGGTGGCACTTGGATGGAAGTCAGCTAGCTGTCTTATGTGCTACCCTTGTGGAGGTGCAGGAATGGGAGGTTTGACCTCAAGTTTCTTGGCCATTCAGGATGGGCTCAGCGTCTGAGATGGGAAGGTCTGAGGTAAATATTCGAGCTCAATCTTAGGTATTTTTTGGGTACCATCAATCATTTTTAACTGCATTTGAGCTTTACTAACTTCTTCTAAGGCCTGAGCTTCAGATCTTCTCTATCACTTACCAAGGTTTTCAGTTTATCAACTAGTGCAAGTGTTTCTTTATGTTCCAGTCTTAAGCTCTGAATCTAAGCATGTGCTGATTCGGCATGCCTAGCCTGAGCAACGTCATATTCGGCCACCCTGGCTATTTGGTTCTTGAGCTTCTGGATCTCATGCATGGAAGAACTCAAGGGGACAGAATCCATGGAGTGCTGCTTCTAGACAGCCTGAAGAGTTTAGACTGCCATGCTTGATCTCGATGCCGTGAGATCTTGGACCCGAGCTTTCTCAAGAATCAGAATGTTGGGATTTAATACGCTCTAAAACAAGCTTTCTCAAGAATCAGAATGTTGGGATTTAATACGCTCTAAAACAAGTATACACAATCGAAGAACAAATCAAAAACATAAAACAATGAGAAACAAGAAAAAAAGAAGACACACAAATTTTATGTGGTTCGGCAATTTGCTTACATTCACGAAACTGCAGAGATTTCACTATAGAGAAGAATGAATATAAGAGGCGGCTATGTAGTTCCAATCAAACCCTAATCACAAAAATAGCGATTTTTATATTTCTTACGCACTGGATTACAAAACAGGCCCAAAAAATTTTCCTTGAGAGACACGAGACTTGTTTATGAGCTCTATGGCTTGAGCCCACTAAACCTCAAAAAAAATTTTCATTAAAAATCACGTAACATTATTTCAGGGTCAGGTCATTATTCGGATCACCACACACAAACTAGACTCCACAAAGTCCAATACAAAAAGCTTCAGCAGCTGCTTTTGAGACTCTTCAAGTTTTATTGACATGGAAGTAAACTGCTTTTTTGACTCTTCGGTGTCCTACTGAACCTGCGTCTTCCATTTCGATGAACTTAGTTGGTCCTTCACCTTTTTTAGTTCTTCTTAAAGCTGAACAAGCCGAGATTCTAGTTCAAACACTCTACTTGGGCACTTTTTCTGAGGCTCAAGACAATGTATCACAGAATGTCAGAAGGGCAGACAACAGCTTACTAAAACTTTTGACAAAGGTAATGGAGAGTGTNTCGTTACTATTTGGGTGGCACTTGGATGGAAGTCAGCTAGCTGTCTTATGTGCTACCCTTGTGGAGGTGCAGGAATGGGAGGTTTGACCTCAAGTTTCTTGGCCATTCAGGATGGGCTCAGCGTCTGAGATGGGAAGGTCTGAGGTAAATATTCGAGCTCAATCTTAGGTATTTTTTGGGTACCATCAATCATTTTTAACTGCATTTGAGCTTTACTAACTTCTTCTAAGGCCTGAGCTTCAGATCTTCTCTATCACTTACCAAGGTTTTCAGTTTATCAACTAGTGCAAGTGTTTCTTTATGTTCCAGTCTTAAGCTCTGAATCTAAGCATGTGCTGATTCGGCATGCCTAGCCTGAGCAACGTCATATTCGGCCACCCTGGCTATTTGGTTCTTGAGCTTCTGGATCTCATGCATGGAAGAACTCAAGGGGACAGAATCCATGGAGTGCTGCTTCTAGACAGCCTGAAGAGTTTAGACTGCCATGCTTGATCTCGATGCCGTGAGATCTTGGACCCGAGCTTTCTCAAGAATCAGAATGTTGGGATTTAATACGCTCTAAAACAAGCTTTCTCAAGAATCAGAATGTTGGGATTTAATACGCTCTAAAACAAGCATACACAATCGAAGAACAAATCAAAAACATAAAACAATGAGAAACAAGAAAAAAAGAAGACACACAGATTTTATGTGGTTCGGCAATTTGCTTACATTCACGAAACTGCAGAGATTTCACTGTAGAGAAGAATGAATATAGGAGGCGGCTATGTAGTTCCAATCAAACCCTAATCACAAAAATAGTGATTTTTATATTTCTTACGCACTGGATTACAAAACAGGCCCAAAAAATTTTCCTTGAGAGACACGAGACTTGTCTATGAGCTCTATGGCTTGGGCCCACTAAGCCTCAAAAATTTTTTTCATTAAAAATCACGCAACATTATTTCGGGGTCAGGTCATTATTCGGATCACCACATACAAACTAGACTTCACAAAGTCCAATACAAAAAGCTTCAGCAGCTGCTTTTGAGACTCTTCAAGTTTTATTGACATGGAAGTAAACTGCTTTTTTGACTCTTCGGTGTCCTACTGGACCTGCGTCTTTCATTTCGATGAACTTAGTTGGTCCTTCACCTTTTTTAGTTCTTCTTAAAGCTGGACAAGCCGAGATTCTAGTTCAAACACTCTACTTGGGCACTTTTTCTGAGGCTCAAGACAATGTATCACAGAATGTCAGAAGGGCAGACAACAGCTTACTAAAACTTTTGACAAAGGTAATGGAGAGTGTCAAGCATAAAACAACAACTAACTAAACAGACTGACCGTAATATAAGGAAAAACATAAATTAATGAAGTGGAATTGCTAACATGGTTAAAAGACACAAGAAGATAATGGGCATCGTTAAGCAGAAGGGAAATAACTAAATAGTCTGACCGCAATATAAAAAATAAAAAACAAAGGAAAGAAATGGCAGGGCAACTTGATTGAAAAATTCAATGGTTGCGGATTACAAGTGCTTCAAACCAACAGGTTGGGTTAGCAAATTGGGGTGGTAAACATAAAATTGCTGAACAAGGAGCAATGAGCCTATTAGAAGTGCCAACATCATTGTGTTCTGTCATAGATTTCTCAAATTAATGTAGAAACTGTTCATTGTCTGTTTTCCATTTTCCTTCTTAGTACTCAAAGCATGAAAAAAACCATAAGATCTAACTGCGTGAGGTTTTTTGATTAATAGCCCATGTATGTCCCAGTTAACTCTCCACACTAGTGGTTGGGGAACTGTATCACATATTAGCATAAGCTCTTTCAGTAACAGTTAAATGATATGTCAGATGGTGACTAAATATGATACTCAACATATTCTAGTCCTTCGAAACTTTCACAATTGGACAATCAATGTGATTAACCTGACTAAAAAAGACATTTTATTCTGGAGTGGAGACCCTAGGCAATTTGGTAATGACAAACAATAAGTTTGATATTGCCAACTACTCAACTGGTCAAAAGGATCGTGCAGATAAATAGTCACCCAGAACTATATTTCGATATTCTTGCAAATTTGAGAATTAATTTTTTATAACTTTTCATTTATCTTCATTATTATTAATTTCGGCTTCCACATTATTTGTATACAGTAGAACTCGCAAATGACAAATTCTTTGAAGGACGACTAGTGAAGGTAAAGAGTGAAGCAGATTAAAAAGCTTTGATTCGACGTGCATTTGCTCGACATCAAAGGAATCAATCTCCACCACCTGTGCCAGTCATAGAGGNAAGATCAAAAAGCTTTGATTCGAGGTGCATTTGCTCGACATCAAAGGAATCAATCTCCACCACCTGTGCCAGTCATAGAGGTTCAACAACGTAATGCTGAATCAACCAGAGAAGCACAAGACTCGGGCACACCATTTTACAATGGTTTTGATCATCTTGCCGACGATATATATGATGGAGATCAAGTTGAGAGGCAGCAACATGATGGTGACTTTCATGATCTTCCTAGTAGGATATCCGAAGGAGAGCAATGATAATCTGATGGTTCGAGTCAAGCACAAGACCCGGGCAAAAGTTACAGTTTGTATGATCAATTAAGGTATGTCACTGTAATAAATGTTACTGATTAATTTTTTATTTTTTAGAATTTAAATTTAAAACTGCAAGAAGGCTATTATTTTGAAGGATGAAGAGTTAGCTGAGCTTAGAGTCATTATCTATATT